ATTTCTAAGTTTTCATTTATTTTGTCATTTTGTTCTTGTATTTTCTTCCGAAATTGTTCTGGGATTTTTTGTCTGTGTTTTCCTTAATTTTGTCGTTGTTTTCTTTGATCTGTCTCTTAATCCTTTACTCACTGCCATCAAGTTGAACCCAACTTATAGTGACCCCTCCTTGGGTTTCTGAAGCAGTATCACTATGGAAATAGATTGCCCAACCTTCCGAGGAGAGGCTGGTAGCTTTGAACCGCCAGCCTTCTGGTTAGTAGTCAAATGCCTTAGGCACTATGCTACCTGATCTCCCCTTAATCCTTTGAAGGTACCTAAATATAATTCTTTTGAATTCCTTAGCAGGGAGTTTCAATGCTGCTTCTTCAGGGATGTGCTCTGGGTCTGTATCCTGCTCCCTTGTTGTTACTGCTTTATCTTCCTTCTTTGTGTGGACTGTGATGGTCTATTGTCTCTGAAACACTGTGACACTGCTGTATTTAGATCACTGCTAATGGTTTGTGAAAAGTAGTTAAGGGTGAGTCAGGCTCTTCCTGGTGGTCGTTTATCCCTGGCCAGTTGGTAGAGCAGGAAGTGGTGGCTCTCAGTCAGTAAGTAGAGCTGCAGGAGGTGTAGATGTGGTTGCCTTGTATGGACACTGCTACTGCCTCCCACTCAGACAAAAATAACGATCGACAAACTATCAAAAAAGTAAAAGCAAGTAGACAAAAAGCACACTGCATAAAGACACAGGAGCAATCACAAAAAAAAGAGAAAAGAAAAAGAAAAATCAACAATAAACTCGGCAATATCTGGAGAGGGAGCAATAAGAGAAAAGAGGTAGAGAAGGAGAATAATGAAGAAAAAAATTGGAAAAATGTAAAAACAATGAGTGGGGTTAACCACAAGAAAGAAAAAAATGGGAACCAAGAACAGGGAAGAGAGAAAAAAGCTGAAAACTAGAACCTGGGAAGGGAAGAACAAAGAATAATAATAAAAAGGACAAAGGGGGAAAAATAGAATAAGAATAATAGTAATAATTTTAAAACAGACAAAACCAAACTAAAAAAAAAAAAAA